CCCCCCACCGCCCCCCAGCTTCCAGGCGGCCCAGGCCACTCGGGGAGGCGATTCCTGCAGCTGTTCATTAGAACTCCACAAAGTTATGCAGGCTTATTATAATGAGATCCCCATGGCACCTCCCAGAGGCAGCCGTACCCCAGGTCTTGCCCATGTTTCGTTCGGGAACTTTCTCTCATGGACTTGCTCGAGTCCCTACAAGACCGTAGCCCAGAGCTCCGGCGAGGGGCACCACCCAGCCAGCGACCGGTGACGATCGTGGCGCCCCCAAGGGCTCAGGGGTTCTACTGCCCAGAGGCTGGCGAAATGACGTTCAGCACACGCCAGCCACGCCAAATCAAAACCAGAGCACGGACGGATGAGTCACAAGGCTGATATGGCCAAGGGATCCGGGATTTAGGCTGCCTCAGAGTGGCCGTTTCAAAAGCCGTCCAGCACGTTTCCTAGGAGTCTTTTCGTTTAGTTTGCCTGGATGGGCTGCTAAGAAATACACCATAATTGCCTTCTGATGGGGAAAACGGACTTCTAAGAACACAGAGTTTGGCTGAAAATTCGTTTTTAAAAATTTTGTAGTGTAGGAGACCCCAACAGGGCAAACGGTTCAGAATAATTTTTTTTTTTCCTCCTTGGACAATAAATATATTTCATTTTCCTTAATGCTAGTTCTGGAAAAGCCTGGTTTTGGTTACGGAGCTGTTGTTCCTCACTACCCCACTGACCAGTCTGCGTGTCCTTCTGTCCGGCTGAGCAGGGCGTCTTGAGCAGCGCGGAGAACAGAGAAGCAAGCCCACCAGCCCCGTGTGCTCGGCGTGAGGCCGCCTGGGCCGTGCCCTGACCGGGAGGCTCGCTACAGGACGCCCTCCCTTCCCTGCCTCCAGTTCCCCCAGACTTCGGACCGTGTGGACCACTGAGAAGAATGTATTGTCAGAAGTGCATCTGCAACCCAAGCTCTTTTGTGCAGTTAAAACGATAATGTTGCCATAAAAATGGTAGTTTAAAAAAGGGGAAAAAGGGAAGAGCTGACTGTTGAGAGAACAGGCCCTACACTTTCTGAAGGGTTTGTGCCTCAGCGGGATTGCTTGTACTGAAGCTGATGCTCGCTGGGAGAGCTATTCTCCATACAGAAGTGCAGCCCATTCAGTGACATGGGTTTTTCCTGGCAAATAAAATATACCTTTACATCTTTGCAGACCTCGCCACTTTGGTCCCTACACCCCACTGAGTTTTTATTTTGGAAAAATAGTTTCAGGGCTGTTCAGAGGCAGCTTGTTTTACTCTGTGAACTGAATGTAATGTTGTGAGACTTTTAAAATTAGATTTCCCAGTTTTTAAGGTATACCGTGACTGCAAAGGCTTCGGATGCTTAAGGGTGGGGTGAGGTAGGATTTCTAATTGTGTTTAGAACTGACAGGTCTAAATATATACCTCGGTGCATCCCCTACAAGTGCATCTCGGCCCTCCGAAGTATTTAGGCGAGACCTCTTGATTAGGGACCGCAGACACTCGCGTTGCCCTCCAGAAAGGAGCTGGAGGAAACAAGGAGAAAACAGCTCTCTTTGCCTCACAGACACCTCCTTCTATGCGCAGAAGGCGTCCCTGTGACAAGGCCGTTTCACATACAGGCAGAGGAAGACAGTAGGTCCAGGCATAATGCTCGAGCCGGAGGCCACTCACAGGCAATGAGATTTGGGGCCAGTTACTTGGATTTTATGTGTTAGTTTTCTCATGGCCTGCGCGATTTTGAGACAGTATGTGCGTCACAGGGCTGATATAACGATTAAATGGTAGAGCACTTAGGAAGGTGCCTGGCACACTCTAAGTGTCTACGAAATGCCAGCCTTGGGTCCCAGAACAACCCTGTGTGACGGGAAGTGGCAGGAATGGTCAGTCCCGTCTTGCACGTAGGACCGTGGCTAAGTGCTGACCATCACTTGGGATGGGAAGGGGCTGGGAAGGGGCCAGGCGAGAAAACAGCTGGATTTCACTTGAGTGAGGTCACCACCCAGAACTGGGGATGATGCAGACTTCTTCCTCTCTAAGAATACTGTATTTACCAAAATATAATGATCCAGGAATCTGCAACGCTAACGGGTAGAGCATAGGTTAGTGGGAGAGCTGACAGCGTGGCAGGGTCTCCAACGGCTGAGTGGAGAGACTGGAGAGAAGGCAGGTCTCATTAGTTTGGTTTCGCTGAGAATGCAGGTGAACCGCATTATTCCCAGGTAGGGTTCCTAAGACTCCTGACCTCTAGGTCAGAGCTGACTGACTGCTGGGTCTCAGAACCAGGGCTGCGTGGACCTTTCCCACGCCAGGTTCGCTGGATTCCCTACAAGCGAGGACTTGCTGGGCAGGGGACATTGAGAACTGCGTCCAGATTTCATTTTGCTGACCCACAGCTCAGAGTGTCCCCGACAGAAGCAGAAGTGGTAGGAGCTGGTGGCTACACTGCAGGGTGGCGTCTTCTGGGAGCACTAAAGTGTTTGCACAGGTTACTGGGGAGTTAGACGGAGTGTTTTGAAATACCTGCAGAAGGAATAGAGGCATAGAGCTCAGAATTCCAGTCTCTCTCAACCAAGGAAGGTAAAGCAGAAGAATGGTGCCTTTGCAATGTAGGCCCGGACTGTATCCTCTCTTCCCTTAAGCACTGCCAACGGGGGGTCCGATACAAAACACCCCTTGTCCTCAAAGATCCCGCGTTCTGTCTGCTTTCCTAGGCAGCGGCCTTCTCAGGACCCCCGAGGGGCTGCAGGGACTCGTGGTGTCCAGCTGCGGGTGGCCCCTGCCTTTCCCCGACAACTGCAGTACCCGCACTTACCAGGAGAGGGCGGCTGGAGCTTGGGTTGCTTCTTGGTTTCCGCCGTGCTGAAGACTTCCGGCGGGGGCTCCTCCCCGCGCTCTATCTTGCACTCAAAGGCGAACAGGTACTGAATATACTGCTTTTTCAGGGAGCTCGCTGCGCTGCTTGAAGTGCCAACATTTAGGTTGGTTGCCAGCTCACGCCACTTCTTGTTTTTATTGACCTAGCAAAAAAAAAAAAAAAAAAAGGCAGGATCATTGGTTTGCAGCAAAGTGGCTTGTTTAAAGCCAGGAGACAAAAAAAGCACTTAATGTCTTGATTTACTTTTTTTTTTTTATTTGCCTCTCTTAACTAATGCTCATTACTCCCACTCAGTAGTGCACAGACAGCATTTACAGTTATAAAACCATTACGGGACCTGCTGATAGCTACATAAAAAGCACTGCTCGTTGAGATTCTTCTGCCTGGTGCACCTTCTAATGCCTCACACTCTTCCAGGCCGCTGTGGCTCTGAGCCAGCCCTCTTCTCCGGGCAAACGTACGCTCCCGCTGCCCCCCATCCCACCTCTCATCTTAACAACAACAACAACAACAAAAGGCATCTGAAAACAAATTTAAAAAGCAGTAACATAACTGTTTTGCAATGTAAGTGTTTGAGACTTGATATGGAAAACAGTGTTCCCTTCCAACAGCCACAGGCTCCCAGAAAGTCGAGCCTGTAATTCTAGCCGCATTCCTCCTCTCAGGCGGCATTCCTAGGGTGTTGGGCAGAGGTGATACTGGGGGCAGCCCGCACCAGCCATCAGCCCTGGCGGCTCTGCCAGGACACCAGCTGGCCACGTGGCAGGCCCAGTGAGCTGGTGAAGGCGCAGGGCACGGGGGACTGCACGGGGGACGACACGGGGTTCCCACACACACTCAGGCTGCAGAGAAGGCAGCGCAAAGTGAGGAGGAAAAAAAAGGGAGAGAAAGCCTGAAATGCTACAAAAGGCTGTGGGGCATTAACTTTTGATTCCCACTTGGGCCAGAGTTATCTAAGGATGAATGCCTGAAGGAAACATGCAGACCCGCAAATACTTGGGGACTATTTTGCCTTTAGGTATGTATGCCTTGTGCTAAGTAGCACAGTAAGGGTTAAGGGAACAGTGGGTTTTTTTTTTAATGAAATGTTCCATTTTTGGATTCAAACTTTCTCACAAAGCTCTTTATGTCCATTTACTTAGTACTAAATGGTGCATGATAAACAAAGCTCAGGTTGCTCGCGAAATGCCCAATTCCACTTTTGGCACTTAATGCCAGGCTGCAACGAATGAGCAGGCGTGCGGGTGGCTTTAGAAGGGCTGGGCAGGCTGTTGCCTGGACACCCTGAAAAGCCAGGCTTTGCACTGATCTCTATGTGACTGCAAGTACCTGCCCCGACCGCATCTGAGGGCCACCAGCCAGATATCGAGATGGGGTATGAGCGACAATGTGGCCAAGTGGCTCACCGCTGTGCATCACCGCTATGATCAAACCTCCCTTGTTAGCTAGGCCAGCAACGAGCCTTACTTGCAGACCCAACACGGTAACCCACACCGCTGACAGAGTCTAAGTAAGGTGTCCAGACACTCTCTATACTTGTTTGAGGGTGATAGTGTCCCGAGGATTCTAAAATTCTATGCCAGGGGGTTAGGTGCAAAGGGGAAAGGTTGGGGGGGTCTAGGTGCAGGGGAGAGGTGTGCATCTTGAGCTCTCCCTCCACTGACCAACTCTCACTCACTTGGTCTGCACTGTATGACTTACCATCCGTTTCCGCAAAGCCTGGAATCAAGCCCTGTTTCAGTTGTACACCGCGGGTCTCCGGTGGGATGAGGCACCCCAGGGAAGGCTGAGAACAAAGGCCTCTCCTGCATACCCCAGAGCTGCACAGCACTGAGACCAGGCGGGCCCTCGGTGACACTTGTGGATGAGGTGACTCACTCTTGGACCCGTGGTACCTGGCCGGAGCGCAGGGGGTTCACACTGTGCCCTAGACCCCCTGGGCCCAGAGCAGCTCCTCTCACTGATCTGGGTGGGAGCCCAGGTACTGGCAGGTTTTTAAAGCTCCCCAAGTCATTCTAATGAGAGCTGCCGGTGGATGGGAAGAGCGCACGTCTCAGAATGAGCAGGCCGGGCCCGCGCCTACCCTGTGTGCCCTGGGCCACATGATCGTACCTCATTCCGGGACAGCTTCCTCCTCTCTTGAGGGCTGATGCCTCCTGCATTTTAAGGGTATTCAGAAAGACAAAGCCAGAACAAAGGTAAAGCACAGTGCCCAGCACGCAGTGGGCACGTATCCGGGGACACCCTTTTCCCTGTTTCTCTTGCAGGACCCGTGCTTGGAACTAGACACCATGCTGCAAGCGGCGCCAGGACCCTGGTGAGGACAGTGTGGCCCCCTGGGCACTGACTCTGAGAGGGCAGGCGCTGCTGAGCCCTGAAGATGAGTGCCCTCTGAGATTTGGCGCCGCCCCTGCTGCATCAGTTGCTCCAGACAGAGGGAAAGAGTGAACTGGATTTAGAACTGATTGAGACGATTAATTTGGTCATTTGCAGAACATTTCTGGAGTATTTCCTATGGCATCTTGGCAGAGCCCACAGAATTCTACAGCGGTCAGGGAACCTAAAGAAAAATCTAGCCCAACCGTCTCACTTCACAGACGAGAATGGAGGTCCATATAAATGACCTGCCGAGGTCACCCTGCGAGTTGGTGGCAGGACCAGGGTCCCAAGCCCTAGTGCTCTCCCCTGCAGCACACAGACACGGAGCCCACAGGCTTAGGTTTTTCTTTATGGGGGGTAAAAAAAAAAAGTTTGAGTCTGCACATTCCAAGAAGGCCCGCAGGGAGAGCTTATGTGCAGGGTCTCCGCGTGGACTCACTCAGGTATTCTCACCTGTGCCAAACCTCCAATCTCCTTGACGCAGACGTAGAGCCGGAACAGGTCCAAGGGCTTCTTGCCCACGGCGGGCAGACTCGAGACAGGCGAGCCCCTCTCTTCCATGAAGGTAAGGTATCTGTCGACCCACAGCTTTCTCTCTGGCTCATTCCCCAACTCATACACCTTTGTGATCTTTTCCCCAGTGGTGGTGGATGAGCTGGACTTCTAGTGCCCAGAAGGAGCGTTTGGAGGTGGGGTAGGGGCGGGCAGAGGGAAAAGGGAAGAAGGTGAGAAGAAAGTAATGAGCTACCAAATACAAGAAGAGAAGAAATTTAAAAACTACTGCTATCACACAACAATTAGGAATGAAGGCTACTAGTTCAGGCACAAACTATACATTTTCTTAATTAAGACTTTACTTTGACTTTAAATAAAGGGCCCAAACTCCCTTTTACATACTTAAAGAACAAAAACAAAAAAAACCTAAAAACCTTTTTTTACTTGATATAAGCGTTGAATCCCAGAAGGCATAATTCCAATGACACCTCACGTCATTTTTAACAATAAAAGGGTGCTCGCTCATAGAATAATCACAGTGAATTTAAAATTTCACATGTATGTAATATTATAGAGCCCCCAAAACTATATGGCCTCTTACTTCTTGTCAAAATAAGAATGGCTAATGTGTGTCCTCATTAAAATGCTACAGCATATGGAGGAAAGCAGGTATGGGACTTGCTGGAAAATGTAAGGTAGGTCCCAAATCCCAGGGACCAGTGGTGTGGGCTCTATGCTCATTGGCAAGCTTTATAGACTAGTGGCCAGCTAAAGTTTTGGCATTTGCTCATGATGACTAGCTTTCCCTACTTAAGATTTCTTGAATTTCTCTACCAAGGCAAGGGGCTCCTAGAGAATTATTTAAACAGATTTCTTAGGCAACCATGCTTTAATCACAAACACATGTGCTATTTCATACTCCCTGAACATCTATGGATAAAAATATACATTTACTTTTACACACATGGGTTTATGGGCTCATGTGGTTTATACTGATGCTCTAATTCTTGTCTTTGTTTTTCTAATTATAGCTGATACTAAAATGTCAAAAGTTACTGTTTCTGCATAACCAAAGCCCACCTTCCGGGTTACATGATCTGGAAAGGTAATACTTCTGGGCCTAAACAGCTCAAATGTCTATCTTTCCTTTCTTTTATGTCTCTATATTTGTAACAGTGATTTGTGTACTTGTACTCTTTGCAACTCCAGGGTTATTGTGAAAAATTACTTCTAAATTCACAATGAAGATTTCCTTGGAATAAGAATTGACTGCATTTCCTCATGTGTATTTACCAGTTATCATTTGCAATTGGATAGCCATTGTTTTAGATGGGAGTTTTTCTTAACTCTTTTCCATTACATTTAGCTTAACAATTTTAAACACATAGCTGAAATTTTGGGGGTTAAATAACATGACTGCCATTGAAGTCTGATATTACTTTATTTAGCAAAGGATCCCCAATAAAAGTAGGACCTCAGAAAGGATGCCTGAGAACGAAACTAACAAAGCTGGCGAGTGGCAGTTTCTCCCCCACTTAACGTGTATTTCTCCTGAGCTACTCCTGCTGAAATTTTAAGCCTTCAGACTTAGAATTATTGAGGCATAAAATCTTTACATTAAATACAAAAAAAAAAGGGTGATACAAATTGATGTAAATAAAAAATTTACACTGATGCCAAGGCTAAACAGTAAGTCACTTAAACATTTTACTTTAGATTAGAGCATATTCGTATATATATAGCGATATGTCCATATACATACTCAGAAAATGGAACACACTGTATATCCAAATGATAAGTTCTTAAACTTTCTCTTCCATATTCTTGTACCCAAGGAATATCTGACTAGGAAAAGAAACTGTCCGACTGCATTTTATACCACATTCCAGAAGCTTTGTCATCACTAATGGGGTAGTTATTACAAAGAGGTTTCTAAATGCTAGTTTAAAAATATTTTTTTCCTTTTGGGGAGCAGTAAAAAATGGGTCCAATGTTTTTTGAAAAATTAGAAATAGAACAGGAGGAAAAAAGCATTATCACCTAAAATCAATAATAATAATAAAAAAAACCCCCACCAACCTCTCTCTTGCATTTCATTTCTGAAAAATTGAGAAGTAAAAGTTTGACATTCAATTCAGGGTAAGAGAAATAAAAGCAGTCATTTCGATTTAAAATTACTTTGAGTGTCTCTACCAAAATTCTGAATGGAAGATCCACCTGCCATTTCTGGCCTGGTCCTCTCCAAGGCCAAACTGGGGAAGGCTTCTGGGAGGATAGTTAATCGGGACCCGAGCAGAGAGACTACGCAGATGTTTGTTCCCATTTATGAAATGAGTGTATCCCATAACCTGAGATGGGCCTAAAATAACAGTATACTTAGTTTAGCTATATATATTTTCACTTTTCTTGCCATCCTTTGTTAAATGAACTTGAGTTTAATTAACTTCTGCACACCTCAATTTGTTCTCATAAAGTTAGAAAACCGTAATGAAAATAATGTTTTTTTTAATTGAATTGTCTTGTTTTGCATAGCATCGTTTTTAGATCTTCAAAAAAGACTTAAGGATTTTTATGGCACCATAATGTAGGAAAATGCATCTCTATGGAAAGAAAGTGGTCAGGCCTGAGGTGACGTGTTAGGTCCCAGAAGAGGCCTCCCAGGCACCCGAGCCTCCTTCATCTAAATCACTTGTCGCCCACTTTGTCGTCTGTGGCCCCTGGTTACACAGCTTATAAAAAGTGTATGCTTGGGCGCCTGGGTGGCTCAGTCGGTTAAGCGACTGCCTTCGGCTCAGGTCATGATCCTGGAGTCCCGGGATCGAGTCCCGCATCGGGCTCCCTGCTCGGCG